GCAGACTTGACGGAGAAGTTGGATTGCTTCAGGCAACTCGGGAATCAGGGGCGGCAGGGAAAACAGAGTGGGAGGTTTCTTGCCATTGGCACACACGCACAGAAAGCCTCAACAAGACAGTCCCTCTGGACCGCACTGGCAGTCACTGACCGCGTGGCCGGGGCCCAGGAGAGCCGGCCCGGGAGGGAGTCAGCCTAGAGCTCCGTGGGCCCCAGGCGAGTGCTCCAAGGCCTCTGGGGTACCCTGTGGTGTAGACACGGACGATCGGGTTAGGCCGCTGAGGACCCTGGGGTGCCCCTTGGGCTCGGGCCCGAGGGGGCAGTGGAGGAGCCGCCAAGCGCCCCCCTCCGCCCTGCTTCTCAAGCAGCTCAGGCCCCCGTTCCTCCCCCAGCTGCACCTGCCTCCGCCCGCCGCCACCCCCAGACCTCCCATCGTTCCGCCAGGCTCTTCTGGAGGGTCGGCCCTCGTGCCTTCTACTGCGGCTGCGCCCCAAGGGGTCCGCCCTCTCGTCCCCCGCAGCGCCTCTTGGCCGAGCTCCGCCCCCCGCTCGCCCTTTGGCAGCTCCACCCCCAGCTCTGACGTCCAGCCCCGCCCCAACCTTGCCTCCGGTGCTCCGCCCCAGCCCCTCCTCCTGCAGCTCCGCCCCCAGCTCTGACGTCCGGCCCCGCCCCAACCTTGCCTCTGGTTGCTCCGCCCCAGCCCCTCCTCTTGCAGCTCCGCCCCCAGCTCCTCCTCCTGTAGCTCCGCCCCCAGCCCCTCCTCTAGTAGCTCCGCCCCCAGCTCCTCCTCCTGTAGCTCCGCCCCAGCCCCTCCTCTTGCAGCCCCGCCCCAGCCCTTCCTCCTGCAGCTCCGCCCCCAGCTGCTCCTCCTGGAGCTCCGCCCCCAGCCCGCCCCCCAGAATACTTTCCCACGTTCCCGCCCTGCTTCTCCGCAGCCTCCACCCCCACTCCGTCCTTCAGCCCGTCCCACTCCTTCTCCCAGACCCCCGCCCCGGCTCCTCCCCGGATCGTCCCGAGCCCCACCCACACCACGTTCCCACCATTCTGCCCGACCCCTCCCACAGCCCCTCCCGCCCCCTGCAGCTCCGCTTGGCTGCGCCCACAGCCCGGACCGCTTCCAGCCGCAGCCCCGACAAGCCCCCCACCCCGCTTCTGCACACCCAGCCCGCCCGCTGCTCTGCCCCAGCGCCCCCGCCCCGAGCTCTCAGTCAGAGCCTCGCCGGGCTCCTCCGCTTCCAGCCCCGCTTTCCCACGCCCCTGCCGAGACCCTCTCAGCTCTTCCCCGCCCGTCTCGTGAATCGGCCTTGCTCCCGCCAGGCCCTCCGCCCCCAGACCTTGCCCGCCGCTCGCCCTCCACCGGCTCCGCTCTATTCCACAGCCCCGCCCCTTCGCCTCCCGCACCGCCGAAGACCCCGCGGCACGCTCCGCCCTGCTCCCCGGCTCTCCGCCCAGAGCCCGCCTCCGCCTCCTCCCCCTCCCCCAGGGCTGGCTCGCACCCGCCCTGCTCCCTTCCCAG